CCTCCGTTGTTGCTGATGATATCGAAGCCGCCACCACTAAACGTCGACGTGTCATAAAATTCCACGGCTGGCGCTACCCCTGTCCGCGCGTCGCGGGACACGTGCGTCACCAACCGCAGACTCCACGTGGCAAAAAACCACGCACGACTGCTGGGCGCGCGCACAGGCCAAGCGCCGGAAGAGATCCCCCGGGCATTAGTCGTGCCGGCGGCCCGAGCCTTGCCGGACCGGCAGCGATGGGGCGCTAGCGCTAGCGCAGCCTCCTGTGTCTAAACAGAGGGCTAATGCATGTTACATCCCAGGGCAATGCTCAGATACAGCACCTATGCGGCACAGGAGACGTAAAACTGACCAGGCGACGGGCAATGCACAGCGGGCGCCAAGGTGGACACAACTTCACGGGCACAAAGGTGGACCACCGGGGTTTCTCCTGCCAGCATGGGGCAGCCCCGGCTAGTTCGAAACTGAACTTCCTTGAGCTCCCGTTTTTTTAATTTTTTGAGGGCCCTTGAGCCCTCAAATTTTTTTTTTTGTCTTTGTTCATGCAATATCCCACTTGGGCCTACAACCCCTCCCCAACTTTTTGTTTCTTTTCTAGACCCCTTGTTTTCGGGGTGCGCTGCACCCAGTGCGCGCGCATCGTGCGCTGTGCGTGGTGCGGCGCATGTGCGCTGTGCAGTGTGTGTGGATGCACCGCATGTATGAAATGATTAGGATAGGGGTATGGGCGGCCTTTGAAGGTATTGAAGGGCCAGGAGAATGGCAGGGCCTGCAGGGAACCAGGGCCCCCGGCCCGGGGACGCTCTTAATGGGCGACTGGGTACATAGGTAGGTATGCGTGCCCTGGGACTGCGGTAGCGTAGGGCTCCCATGTCTCAGGCCCCCCCAGCCCCTCCCGCAGTGGCTCGGGCTGCAGGGGTATTTGGTCCTCTCTTTTTTCTTCTGTTCATCTACCTTTCTTGTTTGCTGCTTGTCGGTGATAAGCAACCGGACTGGTGCCTCCCAGAATAGAAGGTGCAGAGTTCTTGGGGGAAAAGAAAAAAAAACAATAAATCACTATCATCCAGACCTCCTACATACGAGCCAAAAACCGACATTTAACAGCTAACTTATCAAGAACAACGGCAATCCCTTCCACTCTGTCAGAACTACCCCCTTTTCCTCACTGTTGGCGAAACATCAAGAGCCTGATAGTTGTTGCCATGACAGGTTTCACACCACGCACCCTTGGAGCTCTGTGCGTATAATGGTTTCCAAATTGATGGGTACAACTCAAGTTCGCATCACGGGTTTCGCACCACGCACCCTTTGATAGTTTGCTCTTCCCTCACCCGTGCTTGCCGCCAAACCAGTAGCGTTCCCACCGCCACCTGTTACGCTCTCACTGCACATGGTAGCGCCGCTGCTGATAGTTCGATGGGTAACACCTAAATCCACGCAGATACTGCCCCGCACTCTATATAGTAAGCCCCTGTGTATACTCCCTTAGACCAGAACTACCAAAAAAGACCCTGTTTATATTCCCTTAGAGATTTCAGAGAGACCAAATTCCTCTCTTCCGTGTGGACGACATGGGCATGCTTTAAAATGCACACTAAGGGCCCTCGCTCCACTACTCACCAAACGTGCAAAATGAGAATGAATATTCCTCTAGAACATGGCTAGATACAGTGCCATATTTTTTGTCTTTTTCAAATGTGGTGACAGCAACCGCCTGATGAATTGGAGAAAATGAGTAAGATGGAGACTAGGGCAAATGCCCTAAATCTAGTTAGCACCAGCCATCTACAAAAATCGCTGAAGGAAAGTATGACGGAATCACGAAGAAGCACCCTGAAGTTAGCTAAAAATGGTGATCCATATGCATAATCACTAAAAAGGGTAACCTAGTCAGATGCGTTGCAGTGAAGTGAGTCTACCTAGAAACAGAAAACTATAGTCTTCACCCCAATAGTATGTGTGGTCATTATAGCTGTATCCATAGTGAAAATTGCCCAAAATACGGCTAATTGTCAGCTATAAATTCCTATACTGACCGCCGACCGTTCTATTCAGGTGATGACGGTAGGAATCCAAGTTATCCACCCAATTTTGTCCGTACGCATGATCCTGAACTCATGCTGAAGTCCGAAATAGGGCCTCTCTCCACTACACCAAATGTTGCAAAATCAGAATGAATTCCAGTACTCACCAAATGTTGCAAAATGAGAATGAGTCTTCTGCTAGAACATGGGGATATACACCACCATATTTTTTGTCTTTTGTGCATGTGGTGTGTAGTGGAGCGAGGCCCATAGAAGGGAGTTTACGTCTATCTTAAGAGTTATGCGTCCAGTTCTGCTGGACGCATAACTCCATGATTACAGATGTCAATCCAACCTGGCACGACCCACACTCAGGGACTCGCCACACCACTGTCGAAAGCCTCAAAATTTTGACTGCTGTCAGAAGAAGGGCCTCACTGCACAACTCTCTGCTCTACTATTTTGGAGAGTGCTTCATCGCTGCTCTAACTTTCTTTTCTTTCTTCTTCTTTTTTTTTAATTAACAATGCTCCGATACCGAAACAAACTCGGAGAGCTCTCAGAACACATTCTCGAACAGCACTCTCCGCGGGAGGAGAGTGCACAGCCGGCAACCACCATTTTCCGGAGAGTCGTCCGTGGGATTCTCCGTACGGGCCCCACAGGGCCTGCTGGTAGGATTAGGAGTCCTTGAGGGACTAGCAGGGTAGACTGGGGGCTGCAGCGTTAGTGACCGTTCTCGAGCGCATTGGCTCCCGCACTTTGCGAAAAAGGCGGGTTTTTTTGCAAAGTGCGGGAGCCCTCGCGCTGGACACCGTGTCAGTGTCGGTTGAGGGCCCAGTTAGGCTGCAGCGGTTAGCACAGGCCCTGGCGCAGTTTCTTTTTCGCACCAGGCCACTGTGTTCGTTTGGGCGTCGTCTGGAGCCCTCGCGCTCGACACCATGTCCAGTTTTCGGACCAGTGTCCGTTGAGGGCCCAGCTAGGCCGCAGCAGTTAGCACAGGCCCTGACACAGTTTCTTTTTGGCGCCAGTCCACTGTGTTCGTTTGGGCGTCGTCTGTTAGGCGCCAGGCCGCTCAGGCCCAGCATGTTTTGGTGCCAGGTTAGGCACCAGGTTTCGGTTTTCATCAAGGACCACCGATCGTGAGTGAGATCGGACGGCCCTGTATCGAGAGGCTGCACAGCTGAGGCCGACCCAGCGCTATATTTAGCTGGGCCCATTCTCAGCTGTGTAGGTAGTATTCTGGGCAGTCTTCAGCAGTAGTGATAGTCGATGCGCTGGACGCTCTAGGAGTTGAAGACATTGGTTGAGTTGCAGTACGCTGCAGTAGGCGATTGGCGGAGGCCAGGGGCCTCACCTGTCGACTTACCGGTGATGCTATAGCTCTAGCTTCATCTTTGGCCCATCCATACCTGCATCAAGGCGCCACCTTTCTGCAGGTCAGTTAGTACCTGGCACATGCAGACACGAGAGAGAGAGAGAGAGAGAGAGAGAGAGAGAGAGAGAGAGAGAGAGAGAGAGAGAGAGAGAGAGAGAGAGAGAGAGAGAGAGAGANGAGGCAGAGAGAGGAGTGAGTCACCTACCTTGGATGAGGATGCTGGATATGGGTTGCTGAACTCTGCGCTGATGAGCACTTGGTGACTGCAACTCAGAAACTGTTTAATAATATTTAATATGATAATTCGTTGGAATTTCTAAGTTGCGCTTATCTGGACCACGCATCTCTGGTCTCCAGTGTGGATTTTGTGTCATCTCTCATTGTGTGTGTGTGTGCGCTGAAGGTGACGAACAGTGTGGTTCAAAGAAGTTGATGAAGTTCAGATAAACAACATATTAACATAACTTTGATGTTTGATGGCTTGCATCGCTGACCTCTTCCATTTCATCGACATCCAAACCCCCGTCTGTTGTCATGACCTTTCGGCGCTTTCGCCCTGTGTACATAAAACAATAGGTAGCTTGAGGAAGTAAGGTTGGAGGAGCACACAGGCCCACAGGCCACAGAGATGTTTCGACCGGTGTGCTGGCAACGGGGAGGGGGGTGGGGGTGGAGAGGTCCCTCCAGCACACAGGGCGAAACATCCAAAGTAACAGTCGGGTGGATGCTTTTCCATCGTATACTGATCACATCCCACATGACAAACGGACGTCTTGCCGTTGTGTCGGGGTTCGTTCCGCTCTAGGATCCATTCATTATCATCCCCTTTGTTGGCTGGCATCATCGTAACTGCCAAGGCTCTGATCGAACGTGGTGTCTGTGCAGGTACAAATATCAGGTGAAACTCCTCCGTTCTAAGATTGCTGAGACCCTTGGGGAAGATGTGCGCAAGCTTGTGGACATCAACACCATCGATGGCTTCCAGGTTCATCTCTCTCTCTCTCTCTCTCTCTCTCTCTCTCTCTCTCTCTCTCTCTCTCTCTCTCTCTCTCTCTCTCTCTCTCATGAATCTTCCTCTTTCTCGATGGAAACGTCTGAATCGTGATTTCGTTTTTTGTTTTGTTTTGTTTTTTTTCAGATTGTTGTCTTCGTTTTTTTTTTTGTTTTTTTCTTTTCTTTCTTTTTTGCTGTTGTGTACTACCGGTTGTCCGAGGCTCGGCAATGACCGGCCTACCGGTAGCCTGAGCCACGGGCCTTGACAACCGGTAGGTACTGGTGGTTTAAGCTCCGGCGCTTTCCGCTATAGCTCTCACACAGTTCTGCTTCCTGGCAGGGTAAGCGCCTTGTTGAAAGATAGGAGTCCACGGTTAGACACCGCGCTGCACTCGAGAGCACGCCGATGACCAGGCGCCACCACCGCCGCTGTCGCTGCTGGGTCCCCCCTGCGATCGCTTTCCCTTGCGCCGGGCTGCCCTCAATTACTTTTTCATGAATCTCATCTGGGACTCCTTGCACGACCTTGGCTCCATAAGAAACATGTTTTGCTGAAGTAGTAATGCCTGACACAGAGTTTCGTGTATTATGCTTTCTATCTCCAGGTAACACCTCAACAGGTCAGAGAAGCGGAGAAGAGCTTGAAAATAATGGAGTGCATGATTCAGTCAATGACTCAAAGTAAGTGTGGCTTGACCGCATCCCATCTTGTACCCTGCTTGGGCTTCATAGGCGCATGTTCTCTCGTTGATATGCCCTTTTTCATCTCTCGCTCTTCTTTTTTTTTTTTTTTTTTTTTTTTTTTTTTTTTCAAAGACATCCGCTGGTGGTGCTATCAGGAGTGGTATGCCCTTCTTCGTCTCCAATGACTCTCCAATGTCTCCATGTGTGATGTTTGTCTAATTTCCTGTTTTTTTTCGCTTATTTCTGCCCAACAACTTTACTTAGCATTTTCCGTTCATCATTGGGATGGATATGCAAAAGAAGTTTAAAGAACCTCCATCTTCTTTTATGGGTTTCCTTTTCGCCTTGCATGTTTTGCAGACTGAGGGATGGAACCCTCTACACTTTTTTACTTTCTTTTTTTTTTCCTGCAGAATCGACCCCGTGGGACAGCTTGAGATGCCGGAACGAGCAGTCGCCTCAAACTGTCCCGGGTGGCTCCATCTATTGGTGGGGAGCAGCACCTTCTGAGAAGCGGGCCCAGCGTCCCCTGTTACAGTTGCTCAATATAGATTTCACATCAGAGAATTTAGAACCAAGTAGGGGGAATGACTGTGAGTCCCGACCACAGGCAGGAACTGAAGTGGATACTGGAATGTCTTACAATGCTGTCCGTCCTTCCCCTCTTTATCATATTCACTGAAACCGGTTGTCTTCGTTTTTCCATTTTGAAGTCGTACAACTCCCAAGTCTCCTAAACCTCCAAACCACCTGAACCTGCAAGTCCACAGACTTTGAAGCTTCCTCTTGGCCCATCCTTTCTCCATGAGACCGTCTGTGGAGCAATCATGAACAATCCTGGATAAACGCAAAAAAAAAAAAGAAAAAAAAAAAAGACTCTCCTGGACAAACGCAGAGGCAGTTCTCTAGCACCCGGCTCTTTTTTTTTAAACCACCACTACTTCCGAGCCTGTTTTTGCCAAACCTGAATTTCACTGCGCACCGAGTTTTGCCGAGCCTGGGTCCCATTGTATTTTCTTTTCTGGTAGTCTACGGGAAAGAAAAAAGGAAAAAAATAGAAAAAGTTCAGAAAACGAAATAAAAGGGAAAAAGCAACTAGTACGTGCCCTCCCAATGGGCGTTACAGTCTGCACTTTATCAGCCACAGGACCTCCTCCGTGCACGCACGGATTCAAACCGGCGCCCTCAGCCTCAAGAGCCGAGTCTCTTAACCACTACAGCCATGGCACGGTGTACAAAAGTGGATCCATGCCGGTCGTGATATCCACCCCACCCCTGCATGGCTGTAGTGTCCTCCAACTCACACACACACACACACACACACACACACACACACACCTGTCTCTTATACACATCTAGATGTGTATAAGAGACAGGTGTGGACCACCGGGGTTTCTCCTGCCAGCATGGGGCAGCCCCGGCTAGTTCGAAACTGAACTTCCTTGAGCTCCCGTTTTTTTAATTTTTTGAGGGCCCTTGAGCCCTCAAATTTTTTTTTTTGTCTTTGTTCATGCAATATCCCACTTGGGCCTACAACCCCTCCCCAACTTTTTGTTTCTTTTCTAGACCCCTTGTTTTCGGGGTGCGCTGCACCCAGTGCGCGCGCATCGTGCGCTGTGCGTGGTGCGGCGCATGTGCGCTGTGCAGTGTGTGTGGATGCACCGCATGTATGAAATGATTAGGATAGGGGTATGGGCGGCCTTTGAAGGTATTGAAGGGCCAGGAGAATGGCAGGGCCTGCAGGGAACCAGGGCCCCCGGCCCGGGGACGCTCTTAATGGGCGACTGGGTACATAGGTAGGTATGCGTGCCCTGGGACTGCGGTAGCGTAGGGCTCCCATGTCTCAGGCCCCCCCAGCCCCTCCCGCAGTGGCTCGGGCTGCAGGGGTATTTGGTCCTCTCTTTTTTCTTCTGTTCATCTACCTTTCTTGTTTGCTGCTTGTCGGTGATAAGCAACCGGACTGGTGCCTCCCAGAATAGAAGGTGCAGAGTTCTTGGGGGAAAAGAAAAAAAAACAATAAATCACTATCATCCAGACCTCCTACATACGAGCCAAAAACCGACATTTAACAGCTAACTTATCAAGAACAACGGCAATCCCTTCCACTCTGTCAGAACTACCCCCTTTTCCTCACTGTTGGCGAAACATCAAGAGCCTGATAGTTGTTGCCATGACAGGTTTCACACCACGCACCCTTGGAGCTCTGTGCGTATAATGGTTTCCAAATTGATGGGTACAACTCAAGTTCGCATCACGGGTTTCGCACCACGCACCCTTTGATAGTTTGCTCTTCCCTCACCCGTGCTTGCCGCCAAACCAGTAGCGTTCCCACCGCCACCTGTTACGCTCTCACTGCACATGGTAGCGCCGCTGCTGATAGTTCGATGGGTAACACCTAAATCCACGCAGATACTGCCCCGCACTCTATATAGTAAGCCCCTGTGTATACTCCCTTAGACCAGAACTACCAAAAAAGACCCTGTTTATATTCCCTTAGAGATTTCAGAGAGACCAAATTCCTCTCTTCCGTGTGGACGACATGGGCATGCTTTAAAATGCACACTAAGGGCCCTCGCTCCACTACTCACCAAACGTGCAAAATGAGAATGAATATTCCTCTAGAACATGGCTAGATACAGTGCCATATTTTTTGTCTTTTTCAAATGTGGTGACAGCAACCGCCTGATGAATTGGAGAAAATGAGTAAGATGGAGACTAGGGCAAATGCCCTAAATCTAGTTAGCACCAGCCATCTACAAAAATCGCTGAAGGAAAGTATGACGGAATCACGAAGAAGCACCCTGAAGTTAGCTAAAAATGGTGATCCATATGCATAATCACTAAAAAGGGTAACCTAGTCAGATGCGTTGCAGTGAAGTGAGTCTACCTAGAAACAGAAAACTATAGTCTTCACCCCAATAGTATGTGTGGTCATTATAGCTGTATCCATAGTGAAAATTGCCCAAAATACGGCTAATTGTCAGCTATAAATTCCTATACTGACCGCCGACCGTTCTATTCAGGTGATGACGGTAGGAATCCAAGTTATCCACCCAATTTTGTCCGTACGCATGATCCTGAACTCATGCTGAAGTCCGAAATAGGGCCTCTCTCCACTACACCAAATGTTGCAAAATCAGAATGAATTCCAGTACTCACCAAATGTTGCAAAATGAGAATGAGTCTTCTGCTAGAACATGGGGATATACACCACCATATTTTTTGTCTTTTGTGCATGTGGTGTGTAGTGGAGCGAGGCCCATAGAAGGGAGTTTACGTCTATCTTAAGAGTTATGCGTCCAGTTCTGCTGGACGCATAACTCCATGATTACAGATGTCAATCCAACCTGGCACGACCCACACTCAGGGACTCGCCACACCACTGTCGAAAGCCTCAAAATTTTGACTGCTGTCAGAAGAAGGGCCTCACTGCACAACTCTCTGCTCTACTATTTTGGAGAGTGCTTCATCGCTGCTCTAACTTTCTTTTCTTTCTTCTTCTTTTTTTTTAATTAACAATGCTCCGATACCGAAACAAACTCGGAGAGCTCTCAGAACACATTCTCGAACAGCACTCTCCGCGGGAGGAGAGTGCACAGCCGGCAACCACCATTTTCCGGAGAGTCGTCCGTGGGATTCTCCGTACGGGCCCCACAGGGCCTGCTGGTAGGATTAGGAGTCCTTGAGGGACTAGCAGGGTAGACTGGGGGCTGCAGCGTTAGTGACCGTTCTCGAGCGCATTGGCTCCCGCACTTTGCGAAAAAGGCGGGTTTTTTTGCAAAGTGCGGGAGCCCTCGCGCTGGACACCGTGTCAGTGTCGGTTGAGGGCCCAGTTAGGCTGCAGCGGTTAGCACAGGCCCTGGCGCAGTTTCTTTTTCGCACCAGGCCACTGTGTTCGTTTGGGCGTCGTCTGGAGCCCTCGCGCTCGACACCATGTCCAGTTTTCGGACCAGTGTCCGTTGAGGGCCCAGCTAGGCCGCAGCAGTTAGCACAGGCCCTGACACAGTTTCTTTTTGGCGCCAGTCCACTGTGTTCGTTTGGGCGTCGTCTGTTAGGCGCCAGGCCGCTCAGGCCCAGCATGTTTTGGTGCCAGGTTAGGCACCAGGTTTCGGTTTTCATCAAGGACCACCGATCGTGAGTGAGATCGGACGGCCCTGTATCGAGAGGCTGCACAGCTGAGGCCGACCCAGCGCTATATTTAGCTGGGCCCATTCTCAGCTGTGTAGGTAGTATTCTGGGCAGTCTTCAGCAGTAGTGATAGTCGATGCGCTGGACGCTCTAGGAGTTGAAGACATTGGTTGAGTTGCAGTACGCTGCAGTAGGCGATTGGCGGAGGCCAGGGGCCTCACCTGTCGACTTACCGGTGATGCTATAGCTCTAGCTTCATCTTTGGCCCATCCATACCTGCATCAAGGCGCCACCTTTCTGCAGGTCAGTTAGTACCTGGCACATGCAGACACGAGAGAGAGAGAGAGAGAGAGAGAGAGAGAGAGAGAGAGAGAGAGAGAGAGAGAGAGAGAGAGAGAGAGAGAGAGAGAGAGAGAGA